GATATGCAAAATATTTTTGACGATCTTCTCCACAAGAATGTCGAATGCTATGTTGACGACTTGGTGGTAAAATCAAGAGAGAAGGGCGACCACTTGAAAGACTTGAGAATGGTGTTTGAGTTGCTCCGGAGGTACCAACTTAGGATGAATCCATTGAAATGCGTCTTTGGAGTTACTTCCGGGAAGTTCCTTGGTTTCATTGTTCGACATCGAGGGATTGAAATTGATCAAGCCAAAATAGATGCAATCTTGAAAATGCCCGAGCCTCGGAATATTCATGAATTGAAAAGTCTGCAAGGAAAGCTAGCATACCTTAGGAGATTCATCTCAAAGCTAGCTGGGAGGTGCCAACCATTCAGTCGCCTTATGAAGAAAGGAGTCCCTTTCAAATGGGACCAAACATGTAGCAATGCCTTTGAGAGCATTAAATCCTACTTGATGAAGCCTCCAGTTATGGCAGCCCCTATACCTGGAAAGCCGTTGATACTATACATTTCAGCACAAGAGAGGTCTGTTGGAGCACTATTGGCCCAATAAAATAGTGAAGGGAAAGAAAACTCCCTTTACTACTTGAGCAGGATGATGACACCAAACGAGCTGAATTATTCGCCAATTGAAAAGTTGTGTTTGGTGCTAGTCTTCTCAATTCAAAAGTTGAAGCACTACTTTCAAGCTCATGTTGTCCGTGTTGTTTCTAAGGCAAATCCCATCAAGTTCGTGATGTCAAAACCTGTTCTTAGCGATCGACTAGCGAGATAGTACCTCCAATTTCAACAATTCGAGATTTTGTACATCCCTTAAAAGGCTGTAAAAGGACAAGCATTGGCAGACTTCTTGGCAGATCATCCGATACCTGATGATTGGGAGCTAACCGACGAACTACCTGATGAGGACGCAATGGTCGTTGAAGTTCAACCTCCATGGAAGATGTACTTTGATGGTGCTGCACATCGTGGAGGAGCTGGTGCTGGCGTAGTATTTGTCACTTTCCAAGGTGTAGTCTTGCCCTACTCCTTCACCTTGACACAACTCTGTTCCAACAATGTTGCTGAGTATCAAGCATTAATACTTGGTCTTGAAATGGCCGTTGATATGAAGCAACTGCAATTGCAAGTCTTTGGTGACTCCCAGTTAGTGGTCAATCAGCTCTTAGGTAGTTACGAGGTCAAGAAGCCTGAACTACGCCCATATCATGATTACGCTAAAAAATTAATGGGGTGGCTCGGTGATGTGACTATTCAGCATGTGCCAAGGAAAGAAAACAAGAAGGCGGATGCTTTAGCTGCCCTAGCTTCATCGTTAATCCTGCCTGATCAAACGCAAGTTACTGTCTGCCAAAAATGGGTAGTACCGCCGCCAAATGAGGCCGAAGGTGAAGAAAATGAACTCAAGCATCTTGTCGCTGTTTCTGAAGTTGGGAAAGAAGAATGGCGACAACCCATTATCGACTACTTATGCTATGGGATACTTCCAGAAAATCCGAGGAGAAGGACTGAAATCCGTCGTCGTGCACCTCGCTTCCTTTACTACAAGGATACTCTATACAGAAGGTCGTTCGAGGGAGTACTCTTGCGATGCCTAGGAGAAGAAGAAGCTCTCCAAGCTTTGCAAGAGGCACATTCTGGGGTATGTGGGTCACACCAGTCTGGACCAAAGCTCCACTTCCATATAAAAAGGATGGGATATTATTGGCCAACGATGGTAAAAGATTGCTTGGACTACGCTCGAAGATGCAAGGCTTGTCAATTCCATGCGAATTTTATTCATCAACCTCCTGAAGTGTTGCACCCGACTGTTGCATCCTGGCCATTTGACGCTTGGGGATTGGATGTTGTTGGACCACTGCCAAAGTCCTCTGGTGGGCACCTATACATCTTGGCTGCAACTGACTACTTCTCAAAATGGGCTGAAGCTGTTGCTCTTAAGGAAGTAAAGAAGGAAAATGTTGCAAGTTTCATCCGAGTAAACATTATCTATCGCTTTGGCATTCCTCGTTACATAATAACGGATAATGGCAAGCCGTTCGACAATAGGTTGATGAACAAGATTTGTGATCTCTTTGGCTTCAAGCAACGTAACTCTTCTATGTACAATGCTGCCGCCAATGGTCTAGCCGAGGCATTTAACAAGACTCAATGCAACTTGTTAAAGAAAGTCGTCTCCAAATCCAAACGAGATTGGCATGACCGTATGGAAGAAGCTCTGTGGGCATATAGGACAACTCACCGCACGCCAACGCAAGCGACCCCTTATTCACTTGTCTATGGAGTCGAAGTCATCCTGGCACTCAAGCATCAAATACCTTCATTACGATTAGCTATCCAAGAAGGGATCATTGATGAAGAAAATGCTCGACTTCGATTAGCAGAGTTGGAGGCTCTTGATGAGAAGAGGTTGGAAGCTCAACAGAGTCTTGAATGTTATCAAGCTCGATTATCTCGCGCCTTCAATAAAAGAGTTCGCCCGAGATCCTTTCAAGTAGGAGATCAAGTCCTTGCCGTACGAAGACCCATAATTACTTCCCATAAACCTGTAGGGAAGTTCACTTCAAAATGGGATGGGCCATATGTCGTACAAGAAGCTTACTCAAGTGGGGCTTACAAGTTGGTTGATGCAGATGGAATGAGAATCGGCCCTATCAATGGCAAGTTCTTAAAGAAGTATTATCCTTGAAGTTGCAACGCTCCTTGACGCACGAGCCTAAACTGCATGTTGCTACACTCCTGGCCCGCAAGAGTATAAACTGTGTACGGCCCAAAAAAAAGTTAGGACGTAAAAAAAAAGAGTTCGCTAGGTTGAAAATCTCGAAAGAGGCGGCCTAGGCAAAAGTTAAGACATAAAAAAAAGAAGGAAAAAATCTACCCATTCTGAACTACGGTATGACTTGATCCTCTTCACCGAGGTACGTAGGCAGCTTAGAGTTTCATTCTAAGTTCAGTCGCATAAGCTCAAAAGATACATATTGCCCCAATTGTTGTCCGATTGAAGTATGGAGGAATGTAAAATCAAGCTGAAACGCCATCCTCTTGTTGAACTTTGATCTCATTTGATTTAAAGGGGGAAACCCTCCATGGTAAATTGATATCTTCAATGGGCCAATTTTAGGAGGATGCCAAGTATTTGCATTGAAGTCCAGGGATTCTCTATGTCTTCAGGTTCGCCAAACCTTCAAGTTTGTTGGTCTCCAAGTCCGCCCTCTGCCTTAAAAAAAGGGGGAAGAGAAGAGAGGCGTCAAAAGGAAACACAAGTATAAGGAAAAGATTGCTTGGCACAACGTTTCAAATTCAGTGAGACTTGATCCCAAGATATTTGTGAGAATATAGCTCTTAAATTCTGATTTATGGCAGGTAAGACATCTTCCGATCTCGAGGCTTCCATACCAAGATACAAAAGTTTTGGTGAAGTCGCGCAATCTGAAATCGTCAGCATGTCAGAATTTTATGTTGATTTTGGAATATTATCTGAAACTATCCTTAAGGTATTAAATTTTTCATTTTTGATATGTTCTATATCTTGAAGTCTAGTTTTCAAGAAATTAAATGGTTCGTGATTTCGATGTTCCTACTTTGAGATACAAAACTTTTGGCAATGTCGCGCAAATCTGAAATTCTCGGTGTGTCAGAATTTGGTATTGACTTCGAAATATTATCTAAATGTATCCTTAAGGCATTAAATCTTGCATTTTGGATATGTTATAGATTTTGAAGTTAAGTTTCTAGTAGATCAAACGGTTCGTGATTTCGACGTTCCTGTAATAAGACACACAAGTTTTGGTGAAGTCATGTAAATCTGAAACCGTCGCCACGTCAGAATTTAATATTTATTTCGGACTATTATCTGAAACTATCCTCAAAGCATTAAATTATGAATTTTGGTTATGTTATAGATTTTCAAGTTAAGTTTCCATGAAATCAAGCGGTTCATAATTTCAATTTTTCTACACCAAGATATGATTTTTTTGGTGAGACTGTGCAGATCTGAAATTTTCTACGTGGTGGAATCTAAAGTTGGTTTCAAAATTTTATCTGAGTCGATTATGAAGGTGTTTGATTCTAAGATTTGGATATATTTTAGATATTGAAATCTAATTTTCGAGAAATCAAACGGTTCATTATTTGGACTCTCCCACGAAAAATCTGAATCTTTTGTTACAAGCGCGTAAAGCTGAAAATTATGCGACTAAGATAAAAGTCGGACAACGTAAAGCAAAAGAGAAGCTGAAATATTTAAGCACTCGAAGTCTCCAAGTTGAAGTCTTCAAGTTGAAATCTTCAAGTCTGTCGGTCTTCAAGTTGAAGTCTTCACGTTCGCCACTCTTCAAGCTGAAATATTTAAGCCATTCAAGTCTGAAAGTTGAAGTCTTCAAGTCCATTAGTCTTCAAGTTTCAGTCTTCAAATTCGCCGGTCTCAAAGTTGAAATATTTAAGCCTTCTAAGTTGAAGTCTTCAAGTCCTTCGGTCTTCAATTTTCAGTCATCAAATTCGCCGATCTTAAAGTAGAATTGTATAAGCCCTCCAAATCTTCGAGTTGAAGTGTGTAAAGTCCACCAAATCTTCAAAGTTTTCCAAGTGATCAAGTCGATGTCGTCCTCGAATTGAAGCTTTATAATTTTCCAATCTTAAGGTGGACATATAAGTCCCTTTGCACCTTAAGTTGGCCTCTTCGTGGATTTGTCCTTAAAAGGAACGGTAATTTTCCAATCTTAAGGTGGACATATAAGTCCCTTTGCACCTTAAGTTGGCCTCTCCGATAGTCGGGTCATTTTGAGAGTAATCTCTCCGATAGTCGGGCCACATTGAGAGTAATCTCTCCGATAGTCGGGAGATTATGAGAGTAATCTCTCCGTTAGTCGGGCCACATTGAGAGTAATCTCTCCGGTAGTCGGGCCATTTAGAGAGTAATCTCTCCGGTAGTCAAGCCACATTGAGAGTAATCTCTCCGGTAGTCGGGCTATGAAAGTAATCTCTCCGATATTTGGGCAGGGATGAGTACCCATCCCCTCACATCCTAAAATCACCATCTTCATGCAAGAGCTCGTCCTTCTCTTCTTGACCTACAAAAAAGAAAAAGAGGAAAAAAGAGCAAGCAAAGATAACGCAGAAGAAGAAAAAAGAAATTACCTCAAGTACTAGCACTTTCCGGTCGTTAAAGAAACGAACTCAAGACCAGCTTGAAGATTGTCACGACCCCAGTTCACCCTCCATGAACATGTCGTGATGGCACCTAGTTCCGACAACTAGGTAAGCCTAACAGCGCGGAAATTAATATAACTTGTGGAAACATTTAATTAAATTTAGCAAAACTAGAAGAAAACGGTATATAAGTGCCACTTGCATATACAACTCAAAAATAAAACACGAAAGTCTACAATTTTATCCCAAAACCCGGAAACTCACGGGAACCACAGGCTAATAGAAATGTAATATGCTGCTCTAACTCCAGAATGTCTAAACAACTGAAATAAAAGGATAGAATAACTACTAAAGCTGGAAAAGAATAGAGACTCCTAGTCTGCAGACACGGCAGATATACCTCGAAGTCTCCGCTAGATCTCTCCACCTCGAGGATAGTACGCCTGAGTGGAGGTACCTGGATCTGCACATGAAAAACATGCGCAGAAGGGCCATGAGTACACCACAGTGGTACTCAGTAAGTGCCAAGCCTAACCTCGGTTGGGTAGTGACGAGGAAGGTCAGGGCCCTACTGAGGTCAAACAACATAATATGAATTAACAATATGAAAACTGACAGTAACAATGAATACAGCAGTGAGAATAGACAGGTTAAACAAGGCAGTAAGGACTACACAAAGACAGAATAAACACAGAATATGTACAAATCAATACCAATGATAACAATAAGGATCTCCCAGGATACCGTCCTGTAGTCCTTTTCTCAACTGTCCAGTGGATCTCCCGGGATACCGTCCCGTAGTCCATCATATGTGTAAATCCGAAGGATCTCCCGGGATACCGTCCCGTAGTCCAACTATCAATGTGCAGGGGGATCTATCGGGAATCTAACCCGCAGTCCCAAAGTAAAAGTGCAGGGGGATCTACCAGGAATCGAACCCGTAGTCCCAAAGTAAACAACAAAGGGGGGAGCTACCGGAATCCCACATCCGTAGTCCCAATGTAAATGCGCGACCACAACCAGAAGATACTCAGAAATGAAGTACAAAAGATAAGCAACAGGTAGTACTATCCTAGCATGCTTCACATAGTACAGTCAAGGCAACTTAAACAATTAGGCAAGTTAACTCAGCTAAACATGCTTTTCTAATCTAGCACAGGTTATAATTGCAAGTAAAATAAAGCAAATATGAAGGAAAACTCATGTCTCGATATCTTAAGTAAAAACCGGATTTTCAACAATTGGCTCAAGTACGCGCTCGACACCTCGCGTACAAGGCACTCAAATACCAAATAACAAATCCTAAGGGGAAAGGTCCCCCACACAAGGTTAGACAAGCCACTTACCTCAAACCGGCTCAAAATCAACTAAAAACCACGCCTTTGCCACGAGTATCCGACTCCAAATGGCCCAAATCCATTCAATTCAATTACACATTGTAAATAACATCGCAAGCAACTGATTCTACAAATTAATTCAAAGCTAAGGCGCGAAATTAGGTAAAATGACCAAAACGCCCTTCAGGCTAACGTCTCGGAATCGAATAATTTTTACATTTTCAGAACCCTCGTACTCTCACGAGTCTAACCATACAAAAATCTCCCAAATCGGAGGTCAAACACCCACTCAAAACTCAATAGTTTAGCCTATGAAGTTTCACCCAATTTTTTTCCAATTTTTGATCCTCAATTCGAATTTTAATGATGGATTTAACTACATAATGATGAAATATAACTAGAAGGGATTAAAGAAACGTTACCCAATAATCTCCTCTTCAAAACCCTCTCGAAATCGCCCTTCCCCGAGCTCAATTTGATTTTTCTAACTTTTGAAAACTAACCCTCGAAATCTCTATATCTGAACAGGGATTTCCGCTTCTGCGGCTCTGATAAAAATCCAAGGTTCCGCATCTGCGGTTCCTTTCTCGCAAATGCGAGTCCGCTTCTGCGGGATTTCCTCCGCATCTGCGGAGCCTGAAAACTATGCCCAAACCCGCTTCTGCGATGCTAAGGCCGCTTCTGCGGTTCCCAAGCCGCAGAAGCAAAAATACCAGAAGGGAAAAACTTCAGCTGCTGCAACACTTCACAAATTTTCCCGTTAACCACCCGAAATCATCCCGAGGCCCCCGGGACCTCAACCAAAAGCACCAATAACACCTAATATCTCATTCAAACTTGTACCAATCCTTAAACCACCTAAAACAACGTCGGAAACTCAATTAATTCAAGGATTTGAGCCTAAGAACTTCCAATTTCATCAAAATACGCTTTCGATCAAAAACCCAACCAAAACGCGTCCGAATGACCTGAAATTTTGCACACACGTCCCAAATGACATGACGGAGCTACTGCAACTTCCGGAATTCCATTCCGACCCACGGATCAAAAACTCACTATCGGACCGGAAATTTCAAGAATTCAAACTTCGACATTTCAAGCCTAAATGAGCTACGGACTTCCAAAACACATTCGAACACGCTCCCAACCCCTAAATCACCTAACGGAGCTAATGGAACCATCGGATTTTCATTCCGAGGTCGTCTTCATACTGTTCTGACTACGGGCCACTTTTCAACACTTATGCTCTCATTTAGGGACTAAGTGTCCCAAAACTCTCCGAAACCCAACACCGAACGTCCCGGCAAACTAAAATAGCATAAATGAACTTAGGGGAAGCAGTTAATAGGGGATCGGGGCGTAAATTCTTAAGACGGCCGGCTGGGTCGTCACATCCTCCTACACTTAAACATTCGTTCGTCCTCGAACGAGCATAGAGAACATACCTGAAGTAGTGAAAAGGTGAGGGTAATTGCTGCGCATATCCTGCTCGGTCTCCCAAGTCGCCTCCTCGGCCGGCTGACCCCGCCACTGAACCTTCACTGAAGCAATGTTGTTTGACCTCAACTTTCTGATCTGCCTGTCCAATATAGCCACTGGCTCCTCAACATAGGATATATCCTTGTCCAACTGGACTGAACTGAAATCCAACACGTGCGACGGGTCACCGTGATACCTCCGGAGCATCGAAACATGAAATACCGAATGAACTCCGGCCAAACTGGGAGATAAGGCAAGCTCATAGGCAACCTCCCCAACTCGCCTCAAGATCTCAAAAGGGCCAATGAACCTCGGAATCAACTTCCCTTTCTTCCCAAACCTCATGACGCCTTTCATAGGCGAAACCCGAAGCAGAGCCCGCTCACCAACCATATATGAAACATCACGAACCTTCCTGTCCGCGTAGCTTATCTGTCTGGACTGGGCTGTACGGAGTCTATCCTGAATCATCTTAACCTTCTCCAATGCGTCCTGAACCAACTCTGTTCCCAATAGCCTGGCCTCACCCGGCTCAAACCAGCCCACCGGAGATCTACACCTCCTACCATATAAAGCCTCATACGGCGCCATCTGAATGCTAGACTGATAATTGTTGTTGTAAGCAAACTCCGCCAATGGCAAGAAATGATCCCAAGACCCTCCAAACTCAATCGCACACGCACGGAGCATATCCTCAAGAATCTGAATAGTGTGCTCGGACTATCCGTCTGTCTGGGGGTGAAATGATGTGCTCAACTCCACCCGAGTACCTAACTCCTGCTGCACGGCTCTCCAGAACCGCGATGTAAACTGAGTACCTCTGTCCGAAATAATAGAAACTGGAATACCATGCAGACGGACGATCTCCCGAATATAAATCTCCGCCAACCGCTCCGATGAATAAGTGGTACACACAGGAATGAAATGAGCGGACTTGGTCAGCCGATCCACAATAACCCAAATGGCATCAAACTTCTTCAAGGTCCGTGGGAGTCCAGATACAAAATCCATGGTGATGCGCTCCCATTTCCACTCCGACATCTCTATCTGCTGAAGCAACCCACCCGGGCGTTGGTGCTCATACTTCACCTGCTGGCAGTTGAGGCACCTAGACACATAACTAACTATATCTTTCTTCATCCGCCTCCACCAATAGTGCTGCCTCAAGTCCTGATACATCTTTGTGGCACCCGGATGGATGGAATACCGCGAACTATGGGCCTCTGCTAAAATCAACTCTCGAAGCCCATCCACATTGGGCACACAAATCCGGCCCTGTATCCTCAATACCCCGTCATCTCCGATGGTCACATCTCTGGCATCTCCACGCTGAACCTTGTCCTTAAGGACAAGCAAATGAGGGTCTTCATATTGCTGCTCCCTGATACCATCAAATAAGGAAGACCGGGAAACCACACAAGCTAGAACCCGACTGGGCTCTGAAAGATCCAGTCTCACAAACTAGCTGGCTAAGGCCTGAACATCCATCGCCATAGGCCTCTCTGAAGCTGGTAGATATGCCAAACTTCCCAAACTCTCCGCCCGGCGACTCAAGGCATCCGCCACCACATTGGCCTTGCCCGGGTGATATAGGATAGTGATATCATAATCCTTCAGCAACTCTAACCACCTCCTCTGACGCATATTTAGATCCTTTTGCTTGAGCAAGTGCTGCAAGCTCCGATGGTCAGTATAGATCTCACAAGGCACACCGTACAAATAATGACGTCAGATCTTCAAGGCATGAACAATGGCAGCTAACTCAAGGTCGTGGAAATTCTTTTCATGTATCTTCAACTGTCTGGACGCGTAGGCAATCACCCTACCGTTCTGCATCAACACCGCTCCAAGGCCAACTCTCGAGGCGTCACAATAGACAGTATAAGACCCCGAACCGGTAGGCAACATCAAAATTGGGGCTGTAGTCAAAGTTGTCTTGAGCTTCTGAAAGCTCACCTCACACTCCTCTGTCCACTGAAATGGGGCACCCTTCTGGGTCAATCTAGTCATAGGGGCCGCAATCGATGAAAATCCCTCCATGAAGCGATGGCAGTAGCCCGCCAAACCAAGGAAACTGCGAATCTCTGTAGCTGAGGACGGCATGGGCCAACTCTGTACGGCCTCTATCTTCCTCGGATCCACCCGAATACCCTCACTCGAAATCACGTGGCCTAAGAATGCCACCGAACTCAGCCAAAACTCACATTTTGAGAACTTTGCATATAACTTCTTCTCCCTCAAGGTCTGAAGCACGGTCCTTAGGTGCTGCTCATGATCTTCCCGACTCCGGGAATACACCAGAATATCATCAATAAAAACAATAATGAACGAGCCAAGATATGGTCTGAACACACTGTGCATCAAATGCATGAAAGCTGCTGGGGCATTGGTCAGCCCAAATGACATAACAAGGAACTCGTAATGACCATACCGAGTCCTGAAGGCAGTCTTCGGGATATCTGGCTCCCGAATCTTCAACTGATGGTACCCTGAGCGCAAGTCGATCTTAGAAAACACCTGTGCGCCCTGAAGCTGGTCAAACAGATCATCAATACGAGGCAAAGGATAACGGTTCTTCACTGTAACCTTGTTCAGCTGACGATAATCAATACACATATGCATAGAACCATCCTTCTTCTTCACGAACAAAACAGGAGCACCCCACGGTGAAACACTGGGTCGAATAAAACCCTTACCAAGTAGTTCCTGTAACTGATCCTTCAACTCCTTCAACTCAGAAGGAGCCATACGATACGGAGGAATGGAAATGGGCTGAGTGCCCGGCAACAGATCAATGCCAAAATCGATGTCTCTATCGGGCGGCATGCCCAGAAGATCAGCTGGAAACACATCGGGATAATCCCGTACCACTGGAACCGAATCAACAGAAGGGGTATCAGCACTGACATCTCTCACATAAGCTAACTACGCAGCACACCCCTTCTCAACCATGCGCTAAGCTTTAAGAAAAGAGATAACTCTACTGGGAGTGTGATCTAAAGTACCACTCCACTCAATACGTGGAATACCTGGCATAGCCAGCGTCACGGTCTTGGCGTGACAATCAAGAATAGCAAAATGGGGCGACAACCAGTCCATGCCCAAGATAATGTCAAAGTCAACCATACCGAGTAACAATAAATCCGCTCTGGTCTCAAAACACGAATAGTAACCAAACATGACCGATAAACGCGATCCACAACAAGAGAATCCCCCACAGGAGTAGAAACATAAACGGGGGCACTTAAAGAATCCCGAGGCACACCCAAATGCGGAGCAAAGTAAGAAGACACATAAGAATAAGTAGATCCCGGATCGAATAGAACCGACGCCTCTCTGTGACAAACCAGTATAATACCTGTAATGATGGAGTCAGAGGCAACAACCTCGGTACGAGCAGGAGGCGCGCTAGAAACTGGAGGTGCATAGTAAGGCTCCTGAGGTGTAGGCGGAGCTGGAGCACTGTCGGCGGCTGGAAGAGCTGAATGAACAGGGCGACCCACATAACCTCTGCCATAACGACCTGCTGATGGAGTACGGGCACCAGAGTAGTGACCCGACTCTCGAGACCTCTTGCCTCCCTCTCCCCTTGCTCCCTGGCGAGCATACCCTCAATCCTCCTAGCAATGCTCACTACCTGCTGATAAGGAATTTCCATCTCCAACTCTCGAGCCATGCTAGATCTGATGGGTGGGATAAGACCCTCAATGAACCTGCGAACCCTCTCCCGAACTGTAGCAACCAAGGCCGGTGCATGCCTGGCCAACCTGGTATAGCGGATAGCATACTCCGAAACGGTCATAGCACCCTGGCGCAAGTGCTTAAACTCTGCGCGACATGCGTCCCTGAGACTCTAGGGAACAAACTCTCTCATGAACATATCCGAGAAATGGGTCCAAGTCAGTGAAGCAGCCTCGACCGGACTGTCTATCTCATAAGTGCGCCACCAATCATAGGCGGCTCCTCGAAGCTGAAAAGCAGTGAAAGAAACCCCGCTGGACTCCACTATGCCCATAGTGTGAAGAATACGATGACACTCCTCTAGAAATTCCAAGGCATCGTCTGATGCTAATCCATTGAACACTGGGGGATCATACTTCTTGAACCTCTCAAGTCTCCGCTGCTCGTCCTCTGAAGCAGCTGTTCCATCCTCGGGCTGAACTGGCGCTGCAGGCGGTGCGGGAATAATCTCGGGAGCCTGCTCAACCTGCACTCGCTGCTCAGGAGTACGGACGGCGGGAGTCTGTGCTCCTCCCCCGGCCTGGGATGTGGCTGCAGCAAGGGGAAGCAACCCTACCTGAGCCAAGGTGGTGTACATGCTCATGAACTGAGCCAAAGTCTCCTGGAGAGCTGGAGTAGTAGTGGCAGTAGTAGGTGTGCCAGGTGCCTGGGCTCCGGCTGGATCTGCTGGTGGTACCTCGGCGGCAGCTCGCGCAGGTGCTCCGGCTGCACCACGTGCGCATCCTCGACCTCTCCCCCGGCCCCAGCCTCTGACGGCTGCAGTAGGGGCGCGGGTGCCTGATCATCTCGAGTAGCGCGTGTCCTCACCATCTGTGAGAGAATAGAAGTCAGAAGTTTAGAATTGATGTCAAAAATATCGCACGATAAGGAATTCAAATGAAATGAAGATTTTTCCTAAACAGTTACATAGCCTCTCGTAGATAAGTACAGACGTCTCCGTACCGATCAACGAGACTCTAATAAACCGGCCTGTGTTCCGTGACTCCTATGAACCTAGAGCTCTGATACCAACTTGTCACGATCCTAGTTCACCCTCCGTGAACAT